TGTTTTAAATAACAAATCTTTGTCCTTGGTCTTTCATCATCTTGCGTGATTATTTCTGAAAATTATTCATTTTTTCTTTGGGTATTTTTTACATTACTTATACATAGACTTCTTCATAATCATCTAGTTATCCACAAAACACCCATAATTTTGCGCAACATCGTGAAAATATTCAAATATCCGCAATTGCAAAAAATCGTCATAGTATTGACAGATACCTATTTTCACTTTTATTGTAGCTGAAAATTTAAACTAGTGACTGACAGAAAAAAAATATTTTCGCAATTTTGTTAATTGGAATTTATATTGAAGAGTATAGCTTGGTAAAAACATCTTGTATTTGTATTCAAAGGTTTGTATGATTTAATTTTAAGATCTTTTTATCTTGTAAAGATAAAATCCAAAATGTCAAATTCAAAATTACAATTAATGGAATTTCTTTTGAGTGCCAAACTAACGTTTTATTATGTTGTGTCACCTGAAGCTGTCCCATTGTTCAGAAAAGTAGATTTCCATAGATACGATCCCTTATGAAAGCGTATATTAATTTTAACAAGTCGATTTCTTTCAACAGGATCCATACCACTAAGCAGCTGTAATACATACTAACTTGAATACGAATAAGATATCATCTAGAATATGTCGAGAGCTTTTAAGCATAATAAATATAAAACTAACAAGAAATAAAAGACTTGCCTTTTAATAATTATGTTAATGATATATTGTCATTAAGCTTGTTAGTCGAAATTTCGGATTTACGACATTTTTTATATTAACATAAAAATCCACTCAGAATTTTGACTATACAATTGTGAAATAGTAACGGGTCCCTTTACTAAAATTGTTACGTGGTCTTTTTGTTCTTATTATTAGGTAGTGATCAGGAGGCACCTTCGCTATTAAAGTATTAGAGACAGTTAGCCATTGACCTTTATAATTTGTGAAACTAATAATCTTGAATCCACTAGAGTTAAAGACACGACTTTCGGTATGTATTTCAGTTTCCTTATACTCGTTGATAGCAGTCACCTGCTGAGGATAATATTGCTAGCGGTTATTTGCTGAAAATAACAAAGTGATTAGCGGTTGATGGCTAACGGAAAAATCTAACTAGTGGGATGAGTTTGGAATTAGGAACTCAGTTACATGCGCGCATTATTGAGTTAAAGAGCTCAAATGATTTCGGATGCCATTTCACCAACTAATAAGATTAATTTCAGCCACTATGGAAAACCATTTGGCGACGATGATAACTTGCAATTTCAGGTAACAAGCTTAATAATGAACAATTGGAAGAAAGAATTGACAAATTATCATAACAAACATTAAGGATAAATTGAATTGGATGCATAAAGAATTAAGAAGAATTACATATTTTGAAAACGGTTTAGTAAAAAGAATATTACATTTTAATTATTTTAACATTGATATGTTTTGCAGAAAACTATTACTATGATATGGTGCCTCTTATTGCTGCTCCACGTGGCAATATCATATCCGGTACGATTCCCAAACAACTTAATAATGGCATGATGTTGGTCATGGCAAGAAAACAAAGAAATATATGATAAACTGATAAAATGTATTAGAAAATATCCTGTCGGGGAAAGGGAAACGGTTATTGAGAAAATGGGTGCAACCAATGGAAGGATATAAAAATGGTAAAATTTTTATTCTAATCGTTAGATTCTTATACAATGTTTGCAATACTGATTTCTGTACCTTTAATAGAAAGTAAGAATAAAGAGTCAAACATCAATAATTTAATGGTAATCAACCATAAAGCATTACATTAATTATTGTTGTTGTTTAATTATTATAAACAAAATTCAAGATTTGCATTGTGAAAAAGAAAAACAATCAATTGTGCATGCGATCATTTGATCTCAACTTCCAATTCACTTTATCTTTAAAGGTGCCACAGAATTCACTCCAAATAATATCATAATCATCATCATAATTAGCATTGACACACATATATATTTATTCTAGCAATTAATATTATGCGCATGTTTTTGTTTTCTTGTAACATCTATATATTCAAAGAGTGGAATAAAATAAAATAACAATAATAATTATTAATATAAAAAAGAAAGAAAAAGAAAGTTATTATTAGTATGAGGAATAAAAGATAAAATAATTACATCTAAAAAAATAAAAATAAAAAGTATATAGCACATTAATTACAGTTAAATTTTTGATTCTTTCTTATATATTTTATATATTATTATTGCAAAAAAAATTTTTAAATTTTTTGATCAATATATATATATATAAATATATATATTAAATATATATTTCTTCATCTTTGTTTGTTATAATATAATACATATAATATCCCATATTATAACTTGTTTATCATCAATATTTTTTTCTTTTATTTGCTATTACGACCATATTCATGAACACCAAATATTTTTTCAGCAATTAGTTCTTCGATCCAATCAACATTATTACATGCAATAACTCTTTGCATATTTACAGTATTTTTTAATTCATCCCATCTGTTTGTAACAAATCCCATACTAGCACTCTTAAGACATGTATCGCCCATCTTCCATCCTAACAACAATATTTCATCCCAGTTATCATGATTTACATCTTCAGCAATTCTGTTTGCAATGATTTTTGTCAAATTTTCTAATCCTAACATGTCAGCTTTCATGTAAGCCTCTTTCAATTGTTCCAATTGAAGATTCTCCTCCAATTTACCAGTATACAAATAATACATTACACATTTGAAAATTTCATAATCTATCTCCTTAATTGGAATAACTTTATTACGACCTTCTATCCATTGTCCATTTAACATATTTTCAAAATATTTGGATTGTGAAGCTAAAATTATTTTGTGTGCTTTGATGGTCAGACCACATGAGAAAGAGAATTCAACATCACAAAATCTCTCGTCATCAAAATATTTTGGTATTTGAGAAGCCAAAGGAAATTCACCATAGGGTATTTCTTGTAAAGCCAATAACATCGCAATACTTTCTTCGTTCGTTATCCTGACTCTAACTATTAAATCAAATTTATTTATTGGATCTGGATAAATTTCAGATAATTTTAAGAATTGTCTTCTACCAAAAACTTGATCAGACCCAAAACCAAACCTTGTTTTTGAAAATTTTTCATTTTTGAGTAGTACAGGAGTTGGAGTCGTTGAACTTAAAGTCGTCAATGTTGATGTTGTAATTGTTGCTGATGATGATGTTGACGTTGACATTGATGATGTTGATGTTGATGATGATGTTTCCAATCTATATACTTCAAATGCATAAGTTCTTTCCCTACCAGATGAATTATTTTCTCTTTCATGATCGGTAGGAATAGCTTTTAGAAACAATCCTATATAATTTTTATCAGGATGTGATACACCATTTGGATACATGCACATGCGCCACAAATAATCAGTACTTTTATCATTATTTATCAATAAAGATTTTTTTTGTGTCGATAGACCCGGTTCGATGAAACTATCACTGTAGAACCATCTGCCAGTTGGATAAAGATCTGCCACTTCATGATAATTTTTTATTGTCCAAGTAAAGGTGAATTGGTCTCCTGTTGGTGATTTTGAGATTTGTTGAGGTTGTTCAGCTACCTGTCTACTACTATTATTATTACTAGTAGCATTATTATTATTATTGATAATACTGATTGTAGTAGCACTAATAGACTGTGAATTTAACCTTAAGCTCATAATTGAAGATTTGAATGAATTTTTTTATCTACTTTTATTTAATTAAAAAATTTTTAATAAAAAAAAAGATTAAGTAATAAATTAAATTAATTAAATTAAAATTAAATTTTAAAATTAAATATGGCGTAATATATTTAATAATTATCAGGATTTTTTTTTTTTTAAAAAAAAAAAGAAAAGAGAAGGAAAGTGATTATTACTTGTTTGGGATAAACGTTAATATACATATTATTATTATTTATGCATATACAAATGTGAGAGAGAGAAAAGGTGTGTGCGTGATTCATTCATTATTTGGGGCATACCCTATCTAATGATTTCAGGGTTCAAATGAATTTGGCAAATAGAAAAAAATAGTAATAGAGCTTGTTGTAATTATTACAAGGGAAGTTCTTTTGCGCATTTAAAAACATCTTTGTTCAACTTTTTTAACGTTCAGCTTCAAGAGTAAGAACAAAACAAATTATAAATAGGCAAAAAATTCTTGTAAAACTCAAATAAAATTCTTTGTTAATAATATCAAAAATCATAGCCTGGGATCAAGGAAAAGTCCAATTAATAAACCACAGATGAATTCAATGGTGAAGGTAAGCATTTTCGTTAAATGATTTCCTTTAAGAAAAAGATTATATTTATTTATTATTATAGTGAGTTATTGAAAGATAATTTAATAAAGATTTATTAATAGAGATTTAGTTTTTTTTTGATTTCACATTATAAAAATTACGACCAGATTTGTAATGTAAGTCAATGAAATAGAACCTTGGAAAAAATATAGTCCAAGTAAACAGTCGGTGAAAGAAATACCTAAAGGAAATTATAACTTTGTGGAAAGATTTTAAGCAATTAATTATTTGATAAAAAGACAGAATTGAATCCAAATTTTTCACTTGATAAAATGGTGACTGAGGTTCGTCATCAGTGAATTTTTTAGAGACGTAAAATAGCATTGGACAACTCCTGTTTTTTTTTAACACCGAAAAAAATAATAATCAACAGGTCTTGTGGAAACAAATGATATGAAAATCCATGGTGTATAATGCATAGTAAGCATTGCATGATGCAATAACATACATCAACTTATTAACATGAAAAATAAATTAATTTTAAACTATTTCTTAAAACATGTATTATTAAGGTATTATATAATATTCTGCAAAAGTGAAAAATCCTGATCAACAATTTCAGTATCAAGCTTTGGTAACAGATATTCTGGATCAAAGATTATTCCCAAGATGACTTGAATTCATGGCACATTCAGAGCAGTTTTGCTCATTGTTAGTAAATGTTGCTTTAATTATTTTTTCAACATGTCTGATTGATAATTATGTGGATTAATAAGATCTTTTTTCCAGTAATTATTAAAAGGTGGGAGATGAGAAAAACTAAAAGTACTCCACAATGCTTGCTTTGCATGGTGAATGTAGTATCCTCTCTCAGTACAAAATAAAACAATTGTTGCATCTCTAACTGCTGAATGTAATTTTTCATTTTTTTTAGCCTTAAGAGAATCCAATAATTCATTAGTGCTAATCTTCTCAATAATCTTGCAAATGAAGGTGTTCCTTCAGTTGATCATCAGTTAGCTGGCAGTAATCATTAAATATATCATTAACTTTGACCTACCAATTATGCATGTAATTATTTTTGTTATAAAAAATTATCCCAACTTCAAATATTTTGATATGTACCATCCTCAGATCTTTATTCAAATTATTTAACAGAGTTGCTTAAGAGCATAAAGACCTAGCTTTTAAAAATACAAAATAAGTCTTAAAAGTTTTAACATCTTGGTTTACTCCAACTTTAATTTCACATCATAAAAATCTGAAAAATAATGATATATCATGTGATAAAAATTTAATTAGATATTGACTGGTAAGGAGATATGCTAATGCAAACAAAAAAAGGTTTTATTTTGTTAAATTGCTTTAAAAAGCTACTAATATTACATATAAATTGGTTCTTAAAACAACAATAAAATAAGTAATAATCTTTACATTTTGATTATTTTAATTTTTAT